TTCTTCTTGTGCACTCATGCCAGCAAGGATTGCTGTGGCCGTACGTGTGGCGCGCGCTTTACTGCCCCCTCGGCAATCGCTTTGGTGGTCAATCCAGCACTAAGAATGGCGCCAACAGCAGCGGTGGCAATGATGACCTCCTTACCAACTTTTAGACTCCACAGATGCCAGCAATTACCTTTTTCGAGGGGAGGGCAAGAAAAAGCTAGAAGGTGGTGCTTGCGTTCGTGCTTGTTGTCAATGCTCACATCCATGCACCGTCTGAGGTTAGCAAATCAGGTCAATGGTTCAATTGTTTCCAAGCCACTACGCTCGGCTTCGACTCACTTCCCTGAATCAATGTAAAGATTTGCGTTCTACAATCTTTCACCAATTTGATATACTGTGGAGCAGAACGGAACATAGCGGCTTTGCGTAGCACGCATTCTGCATTCGCTCAGGTGAGTGGCTGCGTGGTGCTTCGTGACCAAGAACAAACGTGAAAAGCTGACGTGGTGCATATGCAAAATTGCACGTTTCACAATTTCAAAGTCGAATCGGCACGCCCGCCTGCTCCACCGCGAGCAAGTCTGAATGGCGCGGCAAGCGTCCGGCCAACGTCACCTTTATGCATCACCTTCATTCATTGATCAGATTCAAGAAGATGGTATTGATCATGGTTGGATCCATGGTGGCGGCCCGCCGCTGGAGGACTGGATGATGGCGGGGTGCCCCTGACAGGGATGCAGACTGTTTTTCGGTAGGGTCCGAGCGGTCCTTGGCAAGTGCTTGTGCACTGTATTCGACCGCCCGTGCCTGCCTCAGTTGCTGTGCACTCATTGCTCCCTCGAAAAGAAGGTCCTTGCTTTGAACATAAGTGCAAGCGTACGTGGGAAGGAAAGAGCCTGTCACGTCAGTATCAAAATCATGCTTCGAGAATGCGCCACAATTCAACAGTCCATCAAGAAGTGGGCTCAAGAAATACAAAATTCAGACAGATTCGAAGACGATCACGACACACGGTCAGGTCGTCGTGCGTAATGCGGTGAGCAAAATTGAGTTCAACCCATTC